AAAATAGTTTGTGGAAAAATTAGTTCTCAACCTACCTCCAAATTGAGTCGTGGTTATTGACAATGCGCCTTATCACAATGTTCAGAAAGATAAAGCACCTACTTCTAGCAGTAGGAAATAAGATATGATAGAATGGTTAAGGTCAAAAAACATTTATTTTGACTCAAATATTTCAAAAACTGATTTGCATAACTTTATCAAACTCCATAAGCCAACATTTAAAACGTAAATGAGATTTGAACTCAAGATGGCCATAGTGTCTTATGATTACCTCACTGCCACCCAGATTTGAATCCCATCGAATAAGTATGGGGATCACTAAAGCAATACGTGGGACAAAAACAGTTGTCATTCCATGTTAGGGATGTCCAACATTTATGTGCAACTTTCTTTGACGCTTATAGTGCTGAAGAGTGAAAGAAACGCTGTGATAACGCAAAAAAGTGAGAAAAAAATTCTTGAGAGCGGAACTTCTCATTGACAAAGTTACGGAAGATCTGATTATAAATTCAAGTGAAGATTCTAATTCCGAAACTGAAAGTAGTGATTCTGCCTAATTTTGTGTGAAATTATTATTTATTTTCGAATAATAAGTTCAAATAAAATAATTATTATTCGTGTAAAATTATTATTGATAATTCATTTGTCATAATATTGAAAGACATTTTATAATTGATTTATTATTGACAGAAAATGTTTTGTTGTTTTTTCTCGGAATTTTGCTCTTAAAATATTCGGGTTACCCAAATCGTCCTTTATTATCTAATTTGACTATATTTACAAGGACCCAAATGAAATAATATTCGTTTAATGTGTAATTTGCTTCATGATTTGAATATTTTTTTGCGATATTCAAGACAAGGCTTTGGAAAATTTATAAAATAGTATGTGTTGGTTTTGAATGATTTGTATCGTGTATCACTTTTATATACTCCATTACAACACCGTTTTGTTGTTCCTTTTCGTACAAATAACATAATTATAATGGAGTATACATTTTTTTTCTGATTATTTTGACTTACTTACTACTTTTTTTTTCATTTTTTTTGCAATTGATAAAGTTCAATTTATATGATAATTTTTGAAACATGAGTTGCGGGCTCTTCAACATGGTTGTTTACAAAAAACAGTAGGAAAAATATGGCTGATACTGATGCATGCGCACAAAAAAAAAATGTGATGAAAAGGCTGTAATTAAAAATTGATACGTGAATGAAACAATGATTGAATATTATGTAATAGTCGATAAGAAACGGAAATTATCAATGAATATGTATTTATCAACGAATAATAACTATCGGTGGTGTGTTTTTTACCGGGACTACCGGTTGACCTTAAATGATTCTCTAACCGCGCGCTCTCCACCATGTATGTCAAAAACGATTCAACGTATGAAAAATTTCTGAAACAAAATTTGTAGAGATTTTTATCCTGTTCAAAATTGGTGATGCATACAAATAGCGAAAGACTCATAGAAAACGAGATATTTACAAAAAATATACAAATAATCGATTTTGTGACCTATGACCTTAGATTTTGATAGTCGTCTCAGAAAGTTCTCCTCCTTCCGAGGAGAACTTTTTAAGACGACTGGACTATACGGAATCAGCCTCAGATTATCAAACAGTTATCAGCTTGACTGCTGAGATTTCAGGTATTCACACCTCAAGAGAATTTCTACTGATACGGTGGATAATCGATTAAACTAATGGTTGATGTAGTGTGAATCATTTAATTCCCAACCACTCCCAATTTGTAGGTTCAAATAGACATGAATTATCCATATACGGTGAGAGGAATGCATTCATGTAGTTTCCCTTAAGCTTTCTCATGTGTTTCATTCAGCAGCTCCGTTTGTGGATTCCATCAGTCGAACAAAGAGCACGTTAATTTCCAAACACACTGAACAGCAATGAATAATATGATTGCCAATTTCCATTTATATGACTTGTTTGGGGTGACGAATATATGATCTACCTTACTGATTATTATACCTCCGTATAACACTGCTACAACCCACATACTCAAACTTCATTTGAGAAAGACAATATTTCGGTGGTGGAAACAAAAAGAAAAACATTAAAAACAGACTGTAATTTCAGTAGAAAGTTGTTTTTTTACCGCAATCTCCCCTTGCTGGGGTGAATCGCAGATCACTTAAAACTTCTACTGAAAACTTTTCGCATATTAGTCCTGTTGATTTAGCGATTAACCTCGGAATGACAGGTAATGAGCTAAATATCTGTATATAATTTTAATATGGCTTTCTAAAAGCTGTCTCAAAAGTTTTATATAATCTCGTGTCTGCACCGGAAGTTATACAAGGTCAAAGGTGAAAAATAACAGTTTTTTCGCGGTTATCTCAGTTTTTATTGCTCCAATGATGTTACCATTTTATTGAATTTTTTTTTCCATGCGCTCAGTCGTTTTTGAGATAGAGGGCGGTAAACGCGCAGCGCTTTGCCGTGGGCACTATAATCCAAGGTCCACCGTGAATATCTGTGAATATTACCTTCAATTATTTAAATTATTTATCAGTTGATTATTATATTTAACAACATTTCACAATTCACATATATTGATATAATAATACTTACCTACTTTGTGTACGGTTTTTGTAAAACCCTTTAATAGTGAAAATAATACAATGGACTGTATTGATTAGTTTTTCAATGTGGATAGGATATATTAAACATATTCATATTTGTTACTTTCAATTCTCAAAATATTTCTATAACAAATTGAATAATAGGGTTATGGTAATAAACTATACTTGATATAAGAGATTTATATATTCAAATATACATTCATTCACGAACGTAAACCTAAAACAATGGATTCCTTCACAAGAGATGTCAATTTCTCAAAAATAGATACTGTAGAAATGGAGAACGTTGTACAGTTAAATCAAATAATGTGTGGTGTAGAACACAAAACAAAGTTTTAAATTCTCCACCAGAATATTAGAAGTATTTTAAAAAATATTGATGAAATGGATGTATATCTCAGTCAAGTCAGCATGCTTTTTGAATGCATAGTTTTGACAGAAACATTCCAAATAAATGATCCAGGATTATTCTGCAGGAATGGATATGATTTTATATATAATAATGGTGGAATCAACAAAAACGATGGTGTTGTTGTATTCCTGAGGAACAATCTTGAATATAAATCGAATATAGTGTCTTTGGGAGTATGGAGCATAATAGACATAAACATGTCAAAAAAAAGAAATATCCTAATAACAATGGTATACAGACCCCCATCAACTTCCTTGGAATCATTCGTCCAGAATTGGTCGGGATACCTAGAAAAAATAAGAAATAATGCATGCAGCATCATATTTTGGTAGGTGACTTCAACATCGACATTCTTGTGGAAGATCAGGAGATATCTGAATGTACTATCTGAATATAACTACGTCTCAATGATAAACAAACCCACAAGAGTACAAAATAATTCATCAAGTTGTTTAGATCATATTTTTTTGATTACAAAATCAGAATGCATATTAGAAGAAAGCCTACCGATTATAATCAAATCAGGAATCACCGACTACTTTACCACATTGTTAGTAATGACTTTGAAAATAACTGAAAAACGAAAAGCGTGGATTGTAAAAATTACATAAACTACCCTGAACTGAAATCGTACCTGAGAGAAACAAACTGGTTTTTCGTATATAATGAAACAAGAATTGAAGAAGCAATGACAGCTTTCATAGAAAAATTAACTCGAACAATTGAAAAACACACTAAAAAAATAAAAATCGAGAGAAAATTAATCAAAAGGAAAATTTGGATAACAGAGGGCCTAGTAAAATCCATAAATACCAAAGGAAAATTTAAGATTCAAATGAACGAGTCTGAGAATCTATTTTCAGACTCGTTCATTTGAATCCTGCACGCATGACGTGAATAAGGGTCTGACGAAAAACAATATTTTATAAAAAATAATCTCAAGCATTTAGAATTGTATATCAAGTTTCATCTTCTCCAATGTATCAACATTTTTTCTTCAACATCAATGTAACCATCCTCATTTCCACCAGGTCATCTTGTCTCATATTTCAGTCTCTCAATTCTTTGCTTTCAGTTTTCCAATGATTTGATTTCAGTTTGTATGCTTCAATGAACGCTATCACCTTGTCTTTTTCCCATTCAATTTCGCCAGTACAAACGACATAACAAACTACGCTCCATGCCACTGATTTGAAAATCTGTTTGTCGATGTCGAACGTCGAATGGCGCGTCCTTATTCTGGAATCGACTCGACTATCCTTTGATTTTACCGATAGTCGATGGAAAACAATTCGAGTGAATCGTCAAAGCCTACTAAAAACTTCATCTCTGACTAACCTAGTTTTCAGTTGTTCTACAGTTTCATCATGATTTTCTCCTTATACAAACTTTTTGTCCACTAATATTCGTGACAATGACGTACAATGACGTACAATTCCATATATAAATCCTCGATACATCAATCATAATAGTCAAAAGTGAAGTCAGTTAGATGTTTCTTCGTTCCTACTAGGAATTCATCTTTGACTTATCTAGATTTCAGTTGTTCTACAATTTTATCGTGATTCTCGCCTGATAGAAATGTTCTTTCAACTAATAGTAGCTACCAGTAGCTAGTGATTGGTGACCTGTATTCTACTCAAATGTTATATTATTTTCTTTTTAAGAGCATCTGATCGACAAGGTTCTGTAATTTTCTGAAAGTCATGCTCAAAGTCTTTGTCTTTTGTTTATTTTTGGAAAGTTCTGGTAGAATTTGCCTGTCTGAAGTAACTCTATCTCCAAATTGCTGAAATAAAGTTGCAGTATTCTCTTTCATCAAGCAGATGAAAATTCATTGTATCGTATTCTGCTAGGCATGATAAATAGAAAACTCCTCCCTTGAATGAAAATTGAATAACATTCGAAGGGTCAATGGTCTCCCTGAAACTTTCCCGTAAGTCTCTCTTTTTGTTATGGATTGTATTTTTTATTGTTCAGGAGGAAGCAAACGAGCCAAACGGATAACAATCTTCGTGGCATCGTTCATATGGTTATCGTCCATTATATGTGCTTTTCCTGCTGCGGTGGGTTCTCACATTAAGTACATACCATCAGAAGAAAGAGAAGTCTTCCACATCTGCTACCCTTTTCCCGACAGCTGGTTCGACTACGACTATCCAAAAATGGTGATTATGGCTAAATTTTTGATCTTGTATGTCGCACCTCTGATCATCATAGGCGTTTTCTATATCAGCATGGCTGTGTCTCTAATGCGGAGCACGAAGAATATACCTGGAGAAATGAAAGAATTGCACAGGCAGGTAAATTTTACACTATTTTACAAACAATATAGGATATCGGACAAAACTTTTGAAACAACCTAAAAATAATGTGATCTCAACAGTAGTGAGGTTTGAAAGAAAGGAATTCATTCTTCGATATACGAGTATGGGTAGAAACCGGCGGGTCCTTGCCGCCGTTTATAGGTCCTATAATCAATCAATAACCTGACATATTACACGGGTAATCAAACAGATATTTTGGGCATGTATATCTGTACATTTTAAAGTTATGTATCTTGTACATCCTCCCAAGGAATTGCCTCCTAGGTCATCGTCCTGTCCTTTCCAGGGAGGTGAACAGGTCTCTAGGAGACATTTTCTTTATATTGGCAGGTGTAGGCCAAGACTCGCCGAACACACACTCTCTTTGGCAATCTTGAGGTGTCTCACGGTGGCCTCCGCGAATGTTTTTGGAAAATGCAGCGATTTTACTGCCGTTGCGCGGGCTTCTCGAACCTTCTTGGAGTTCCCTTCGTGGAGGTGCACAAGTGAGNTTCTCCAACTGCACCTCCCTACTGAAGTAATGCAGATTGATGTCCATTATAAATGAGGCTTAGATGGGAGTGGATGTTACAGTATTTACAAGCAGAATTTCACAAATGATCCAAAGTACTCAGATTTCAATATTGTCATTAGTACAATCGTGCCACTAGAAATGTCAGTTGTGCATAGAGAACAAAAGTTTATATTCTGGAAGAAGTCCATCTTCGACAAAATACTGTCGCCCAATATGTTTCAAGTTGGTAAAAGGAAATAATGAAACCACAAAGCAAATGTATGGATTCATTATGCAGCAAATTCAAAATCTGAAACCAACAGATATCCTGCTGAACGCAGAAAAAAGTATTCAGTTTAAGCATATACCCATATGCATATAAATGACCTTGAGAAAGTGATAGCTAGACCATGCAACATTTCTGCATTCAAGTTTGGAATCTCAATTTTGCATTCATACCTCAGGTGCTACGAATATCTTCTGCACATAGCCTATAAGATGGAATCAAAACAGTGGCAAGCTAGAGGAGATACAGCAAAAAACGCAGTGAAGGAAAGAAAAAACCATATCACTGATCTATTTTATGATAAGATGAGTCTAGTTGTAGATCAGCCAAAGCAGGGTGGAGGAAACTCAAATGACGGGAATACCGACAATTCCTCTATTGTTGCAGAAATAACAGTTCTAGATGAGAATCTATTGAAGATATTTGCCAACATATTGAGCACAATATCCAGTTGCCACTATATAAAACTAGACACTTACAAATCTTACTGTCTGGAGACTGCAAAACTTTGCGTGCAAAATTACGGGTGGTACAAGATGAGTGCTTCTGTTCACAAGCTGCTTATTCACAGTAGTGACATAATAGCCTGTTTGCCATTACCTGTGAGACAACTTTCAGAAGATGTTTTGGAAGCAACCCAAAAAAGAATATAAAAACATTCGACTCTCCCATTCCAGGAAAACGTCACGGATAGATACAAACACAGATATCATGCATTGGATGCTGATAAATTCGGATCCAGTAATAACTGCCAAACGTCATAAGAATACAAGGACAAAAAAAGTATTTAATGAAGATGTATCATCAATGATCACAATTCCAGAATTTTTAACAAATATTCACACGGAGACTGACCGTGATGATGAGAGTGACGATGATTCATCGGATTCTGATTGAAAGAATTGTTTTCATCATTCAATCATCATCATTATTATTGTTTTATATAGGTTAGTTAAATTTTAAGTTTCTAGTTTGATAGATTTGGATGTTTACTGTTCTAGCTAGTTTATTTTCCTGTCATACATATCTATATGAATCAAAAACTTTTTTTTAAACAATATTTGCCTTTTATTCCTATAAAAACTCAACCAACATGAAATTATATCTCACAAATAATGTTTTATACACACAATTTATGTTTCTGTATTGAAAAATGTTTTTGTCGCCGTAAATCGGCTGTTTTGCCGTGTGTGCACCGCCTTAGTTTCGTTCATGTGTGTTCCAACGAGCAGCAAGGGAAGAGTAGGTCACCTCTGGCATAGCCCCGCATTACCAGAGGTTGGCTGATCACAATGAGGTTGAGAATCCGCCACCTGGGGACGCGCCCGATAGGTATTCCAACCTACGGGACATTTTGATGTTATTTTCATTCAACGAAAACTTTTCACGAATTTTTTAGCGAGAGTAGGGCTTCGAGGCCCGATGCCCTTTGGAGCAGCTACTCCACTTTAAAGACGGCTTTAATGCGTCCCAGAGAGATT